CACTGCTCTGTGGGTTTTTTGTTTTGTTTTGTTTTGTTTTGTTTTGTTTCAGAGACAGGGTCTCATTCTGTAGCCCAGGCTGGAATGTGTAGCATGTTCATACTACTGGGCTCAAACTATTGGGCTCAAGAGATCCTCCCACCTCAGTCTCTCCAGTCGTTGGGATTACATGTGCAAGCCACTGTGCCTGTGTTTAAGGCAGAAGTCATTGAGCTACTATCACTGAATATTAGGCTAATAGTTAAAAATGTAAAACCATGAATATCTAAAAATAAAGTTGTCATGGCATTGTGGGAATTAAAGTGAGAGAACCTTTTGACCCGGCAATCCCATTACTGGGTATATACACAAAGGATTATAAAACATTCAGTTATAAAGACACATGCACACATATGTTTACTGAGGCACTGTTTACAATAGCAAAGACTTGAAACTAATCCAATGCTCATCAATGATAGACTGGATAAAGAAAATGTGGCACATATACACCATGGAATACTATGCAGCCATAAAAAAGGATGAGTTCATGTCCTTTGCAGGAACATGGATAAAGCTGGAAACCATCATCCTCAGTAAACTGACACAAGAACAGAAAACTAAACACTGCTGTTCTCACTCATAAATGGGTACTGAACAATGAGAACACATGGTCACAGGGAGGGAAACATCACACACCAGGGCCTGTAGGGGGGTGGGGGGTGTAGGGGAGGGATAACAGGTAGGGTGGGGGGATTGGGGAGGGCTAACATTAGGAGAAATACCTAATGTTGATGGCAGGAGGATGGATGCAGCAAACCACCATGGCACCTATGTAACACACCTGCAAATTCTGCACATGTACCCTAGAACTTAAAGTATATAAAAAATGTGAGAGAACTACAAGTATGAAGCTTATACAACAATTTTTTTCTACTTGAATATTTTCTTTTGATAACTCTGCTGAATCCTCAGAAGAACAAGATAGGATTTTGACACAGAAAAAAAATTATCTTAGAGTTACCATTTAAAAATATTAAAATTATTACAAATTTGTTTAAAATCAGGTTAAACTCTTCCCCTCATTAAAATAATAAAATGAAAAAGTTTATTATGAAATCTTAAATTTTCAAGATTGAAGAGACGTTGGAAAGGCTCTGTTGCAAATGCCTGTTCAACATATTTCTATTTTACTCAACCTTTATGTTTCTATTTATAGTAAGGCTGCACACCAATTCACAAGACCTCATTGTTCCATAACTTGTTCAAAACTACTTTCTCTTGTTGATTTTAATTTCACTTTTATATAAACCTACTTTTTGATTCTAGGATATTTTTCTCCACTTTGGGGAAGGCAATAAACAACTATGTTTGCTTCCTACAAGATTCTCTAAGGGACATATGAAGACAAGTATCCTGTCTGCTGCTTTTTTCCTCCTTTTCTCCAGGCTATGAAAAGGCAGTCATTTGGAAATTTATTTATGGCTATGAACTCATTTATCTGTTCACTTATGTATTTCTTTCCTAATATCATTAGCATTCAGAGCAATAGTAAGGCCAGGGGGACCAATATAAGAAGTTGGCTACTATGAGTGCCAAAATTTCAGCCAACTAACAAGGTGTCACCAGGGCGAGTTTCTATCTCTATATACAGAGCCTGAGATTTCCTTGAGGAGCTGTTCTAGTTACACAGCAGATGAGAATTCTTAGTGTGTGGGTAGGAGAGTGAATGTAACAAAGCTATGGACTAATTATTTCTTATCTAGATGCTATCTCAAGAATGCTTTTGGAATTGAAGCTATATAGAGAATGTGAAATTTATGTAGGATTCTTCTTACAATTTTGTCTACTAGCAGGAACAATGAACACTGTTTCATACCCAACCTCCTGTACACTAACCTTCAACCTTCTTTGGTGGAGACCTTCCCCAATATCACTAACCAAATAAAAACAAAAACAGGGACAGAAACTTACAAATGCAAATAGGTGAGATTTTTTGAGAAGCTTCCATTGGTCAGTAAATATAATAATTTGTGAATCACTAAAATAAAATTGAATTTTGTAGTTTTATAGTTGTTTGGTCATGAATTTTACCAGCTCTTAGTTTTACTATGTGATCATTTTCACTGTCCTTATATCCTTCTCACAAAAAATACATCTCTTCAAATCAGAGTGACACAAATTGTTTCATTTAGCATTCACAAAAGTTATATAAGGTACCTAGCTGAAACATTGTTAGCCACATCTGACCTAAAATAAAACTCAGGATTGGAGGAGGCCATATTATTCCTAGAAGGAGACCTATTTAGCAAGTTGTGGCACAATTGAGATATGAATCTCACATAACAAGCATCTCAGGTTGTTCCTGTGCTGGGTTCCCCCTTTCTCAGTCCTAGCAGCCTAGAGCACTGGTAAGGTAGGTCCATCACAGATCTGTACACAGGAGAGATGGCGATACTTCCTGGAAAAGCATTCATCACATCATGAAGGGAAAGAACACAGATGGGTACACTTGATAGAAAGAAGACCAGAATCATAGGTAAGATGAGATACTGAGAACAGCAGGATGTCTCTCATTTAAATTGTCGCTTTGGGGCAATGCCTTATGAGGCCATGTGATTTTGCAGACAGGAATTAGGAGGGAGTTACTATTGGAAAATAATTATGCCGCTAATGTGACAGTTTCTACTCTTCCCAAAGGTGATAATGAATCCTCCAAAGATGGATTGGCTACAGGATGTATTCTTTCTGGTGTTAAGTCTTTGACTTTAACACTGTAAACTCTGTTTTTTCCCAGAGTCTGCCCCATTATGTGGATGTTGAGTCTAACCCTTGTTGAGCTAAAATTTGTAATGTTTTGGGCAGAAAAATGATAAGCAGTTTGGGTTTGCAATCAATATAATCCATAACACTCAGTTCTATTACTGGTTGTGTAGTATAGGACAAGTTATTAAATCATTCTGAACTTTGTTTACTTATCTATTAAACAGGGAAAATAATAGCGACTCCATTGTGATGCTTATGCAAGATAAATCGGATAACATTTGTGAAGTACTCAGTAGAACTTGCAGCCTAAAACAACGCACTTCTATCTTTCACTTTCCCCCAGCCCTTTGAAAACTGATTAATGTTGAAAATATGTATATGTAATAAGGTCATAACACTAAAATAAAATTACTTTGTTAAAATCCTAGAACTCATATATGAAAACAATTAATAGAAATTTCTCATATACTCAGATATTTTTTCTGTAATGTAATATATATTATATATATACACACTTATAAAATGAGAGCCACTATTCAAACCTGCTAGAAAATATTTCTTTATAATTCATCTTACATGTGTCACTTTCTGTAGAAGTATGGTCTTTTTGGCCTATTCTTTCCCAGTCATTTAGAACTGACATAAGATGAATTATATCCCGTGATTTTTCTACTGTACTCTAGGTAAAAAATTCTGAATCAAATCTATGGCTTCTGTTTTATATGAAAGTAATTATCCTACATGTTTCCTCTTTCCCTTTTCTTTTAAAAGTTTTAAGCAGAATATGAAGTATACATATTCTGAGGGATGTAATAATTATTCCAGATATAGTTAGAAAGTCTTTTTTATATGAAAATATTGCCTGTTTTCTCTTTCTAGCTTTAGAGTAGCGTACACAATAATTCCATAGTGGTTGATAGTTAAATTTAGATTCAGTATTTATTTTTTTATTCAAATTTCTCTCCTTTGAAAGGGGCAGAGCAAGGTTTATGAATTTCTCCTGGCTAAAAAATGTCCTCACAGAATGGCGATATAAAAACAAAGACAATCACCAGAAGCAGAATGTTTAACTGGGATGAATGGATAAGCAGAGTAGCTAGCAACTAGGCTTTTTGAGAACTTAAAAGAAAATTGTGCATTCGGAGAGAGAGTGGAAGCAAAGAGTTCCCCATTTGCTCCTTTCTTTCGTGGAAGAAGAAACAGATGAAGTGATAAGAATATATTTTCAAAATTGTAAAAATAGAAAATCTACAAGCAGCAGATAATGTAATATCATCATACGCCATACAGTTGAATACCTACAATACTACAAGAGTTGAGAGAAAAAAGAGATAATTCCAATAGGTACCATACTCAATGTGTTTAAAAAAATCATATTATTATACTATGCTGATCATTTAGGACTCAGACTTGTGTTAAAAGAAAACGAATTACTTGTCCATGTCATTCTGACCACTTGGGTCCAGGAAATGTGATTTATATCACCTGGAGCAGCTTCTCTTTGAAATTTTGTTGAGGATCCTAAACGTCCTTGTCAGGACCTGTCATGTTCTTGGTTCTAAGTGGTGGTTTATGATGTTACATCAAGCTGTCAGTTTCCCTTGATGCTTTCTTCCTTTGCGGTATTTTCTTACTCCTACAATATTTTATGTAATTACCATAAAGATAAATTGTCACCTACACTCGGCTTTGCAATGTAAATTCTATCCCTAACAACTTTATTTATTCTAAATGCACAATATTTCCAAGCTGTTTCTAAGTAAATGGTCCAGAATTAAGTGAAATGAAACAAAAATCCTGATATTTCTCTTTTACACACAAAAAAAATCTATACAGCTGAACTTTGCTTTTTACGGAAATGGATTTGTTGGGGTGATTTAGATGAACTTTCAGTACAAATGTCATCATCCTTAGCCTTTAGGTTCCACACCAGGCGTTGGCTCTACTCTTAGTTCTTGTTACATTCCCAGCAGAGGGCTGCTTAGCCAAGGTCAGTAATTATTCTGTGTTGTTACAAATGCACTCTTATAATAGCATATGGCATGGGATTATCAGTATATACTTATGGCAAAAAGAGTTGGAGATAATAGAGGAATTTAAGAGGAAATTTGAGAGAATTAAGTCTCAAAAGAACAGAAAGCAGATCCTGGGTAGGGCTGGGAGCTGGCAGCTGTGAGCTGGTACTTTGCTCCTGTGATGCACTACATGACTCTTCTCTTTGTGGCCAGTGGGCTCTGCACCTCTCTGCATGTGCTTTGTGATCTGCCATGTTTAGGAACAGAATCCGATCAATATACATTCTTGATATCAGAAATCTAAGAGATGAGGCTGTAAGGTATTTACATCATCATTCCTACTAATCTAATTTGGAGCAAATCTTCAACCCTCTGGACTTTCCCTGGTATCCCTCACCTTGACCTCTGTTTCCACAACACTTTTTTCACGGAGCCCTTGACGTCTGTGTTCCTCAGACTGTAGATCAGGGGGTTCAGCATCGGGTTGAAAAGGCTGTAAAACAGGGAAAGGACCTTCTGCTGCACCTCAGGATGGCGGGACTTTGGGGCCATGTACATGACTATAGCGCTGCCAAAGAAGAGCCCCACCACGCAGAGGTGGGAGGAGCAGGTGGAAAAGGCCTTTCTGCGGCCCTCCCCAGACTGGATCCTCAGGATGGCCGCCAGGATGTGTGAGTAGGAGACCAGCACCAGGCAAAGTGGCCCCACCAGGATGAACACAGAAGCAGAAAAGATGACAACCTGGTTGAGCCAGGTGTCAGCACAGGCCAGCCTGAGAACAGACAGGATTTCACAGAAGAAGTGGTTGATTTCATGAGGCCCACAGAAAGGTAGCCTCAGGATGAGAACCACATGGACCAGGGCCAGAAGGGAGCCACATGCCCAAGAAGTGACAGCCAGGACTGTGCACACTCTCCATCTCATGATGACAGAATATTGCAGAGGGTGGCAGATAGCCACGTACCGATCATAGGACATCATTACCAAGATGAGACACTCGGTGTGAGCAAAAGCCATGTATAAAAAGTTCTGCATGATGCATGGGGAAAAGGAGATTGTTTTTCTCTTGTTCAGAAGATTTGCCAGCATCTTGGGGACATTGTTGGAAGCATATGAAATATCAACGATGGCCAGGTGTGCGAGGAAGAAGTACATGGGGGTGTGCAGTCTGGAGTCCAGCCAGATGAGCCCCAGGATGGCCCCATTCCCCAGCAGGGTGAAGATGTAGAACAGGGAGAAGAGCCCAAAGAGGAGCATCTGAATCTTTGCGCCAAGGGAAAATCCCAGGAGAATGAATTCTGTGACCCATGTCTGATTTTCTGTCATGCCCTTGTGACAGTACCTGCGTTGGACTCTGCTGTGGCAGTGAGCTGTGTGCTGAGGAGCAAATGCAGATTCCGATTAGTCACTTAACCAAAGGAAGGGGACTATGGTGTACACAGGGTGATGACTCATCAGCAAGGTTGTTCAGAGTCATTATGTCAAATCCTTTAATCCATGGTAAAGCAGAAAAAGATTCAGTTCGGGGAACTAGTGTAAATGCAGACAGGGTGTCATATACTGTATCTATTCCCAGAGAATTCCACTTAACTCGGATTGCAAGACCCACATTTTTACTATCAGAAGGGCAGCCACCGAGTAAGTTGTTTTTCAGAATGACAGGCCGTTTTATTTTAGAGTAAGGATCGTAGCCATGTTCTTCCGTGTTTTGCTTTCTAATTTACTTAGTTTGCATATTTCCCCCCACTTTCTCTTCAATAGTTGGTTTTCTCTTATTGTTGCAACTTGTGCAGAGTGCATTGGGCATGCAGGTGCTTAGTAAATGATTAGAGAACATCCATAAAAGCATGAATTAGGAAATGAGGTTTACAAATGCAATTTCAAAGAGGGTTGTTTCCCTGTGTTTACTAGATTTAGGGAAAATAAAGCTGGCATTAAGTGTTTTACTTCCTGAAGCTACTCAGGAAAATCTGGCTGTTTCCCTTTGGATGCAAGCCAAGAAAGAGTGCCATTACTAATCTGGCAAGCATTTATCAAAGTCATTTCTGATATGGCCAGAGCAAGTGGTTGTCTATATGAAGGGTTAACAGGATAATATTCCAACTCCTGCCTCCACCCCATCCCCCTGCAGGGCTGTTTCCTTGGTTCTGAGTAGGTGCTGTTGCTGGCACAGTGCCCGCTACACTTGTTGGATGAATTGATGGACGGAGGGACAGATGGATGAATGGATGGATGGATGGATGGATGGATGAATGGATGGGGGAATGAAAGGCATTACATTAGGAATAACATTCAAATAACATATCCATATCGTTCAAATCTTCAGACTCTTCTTTAATTTTCTCTGGCTGTCATTCCCCCAATCATGTAGTCACAGGGACTGTAGAAAGGGAAAACCTGGATGTTTCATAGACATATACAAAAGTTAAATGATCAATGTGCATTTTCAATGTGCAGCTTATGACTCCACCTCTGCAAATGCTAACCCTACCTCAAGCCCAGGAAACTGTCTGCCAATAAATTCTCTCTGTATCTCCTGTTCTATGTACCGATTTCTGGAGCCCTTCCTTCCTCCAGACCCTAGCTTCTCTAAACAACCAGACTTTGCAAAAGACTCTTTACTTACTGTGGTACCAGGCCTGGTCTTGTCTCAGAAATATAATTATACTTAGAGAAATTGTGCAGAGATCACAGGAGCTTTTGAAGACCAGAGCTGAGGATCTTGCTCCCACCAGCAGCCTCTGAGAGAAGGAATTTCCAGTTGCAGGGGTCATCTCTCTTTTCTTAATGCAGGCTAATGCAAAGACTGCTCCCTGGGAACACCAACAGTATAGATTTTATGGTGGAGTTATCTCTACTCAAGCCTTTACATATTGTCACTGAGGACAAGGTAGAGTCCCTAAGGAAACCAGGATACACAGCAGTCAGACTCTGTGTCTACCAGAAGAAACAAAGTTTGTTTATCCTCCTGACTCCAATTCTCTGGGCTCTGGGGATGGGCATTCAGAAAAAAAAGAAGCTGGCAGGTGATGACTTAATAACCAGCTGGATCTCTACACATAAAACTCTTGTAGTAATAAGAACATGCATTCTCCAGGGTCCATGTTGTATATTATACCCCCTAAGTATTTGGTCTGTGGTAAGTTCATGGATCTCAGTCTTGCCCTGTGTGGATTAAATGGAGCTTGGAGGAGGCGGAGCATCATGCCTCTGTCATAAAGGCTTGAAAATCTCCTTCTTCTTAGTTAATTCTAACTTGGGTATTGATAGATAAGAAAAAAAATACTTCTATCAACCCTCCTACACTGTGGTGAGAAAGATTCTGAGGCCTTTCCACATAGTGCCTGAGATTTGACATAGGGTTAGGAAATAAGAGAAGCCAGAAGCTAGAGTAAGGCTGGCCTTGAAGAGGTGTCATGGTAGAAGCCCTGGTGTTTTGAGGGCAGCAAATGTGTAACTCACACCTTCACCTTTACTATGATATACTCATGAAGTTCAATGAAACTTTTGATATAATGATGCCTCAGGTACAGGGGCTATGTTTATATTCACATAATAAAGCATAGAGGGAGGATGTCTTGAAAATATTTCTGACTATCCCCTTTATGTGTATGTCCCTTACATGTATATGTATAATGTATATATCCATATGTGTGTGTGTATGTGTGTGTGTGTTTGCTGGTTGGGCAACATTTTAGAGAGAAACATCCACATCTCATTTGTCAGAACACATTTGGTTCTTTACTCCAGAGGGATGTAGGTTGTCAATTGTGGGCTAACAGGGGAGACTAGGAAACATGCTTGTGATTTTGGCTCAAAGACTATAAAGGTTTCAAAGTAGGTGTATTTCTGTGGACAGAATGAAGAAGCTCAAGGAGTATTTATCTTGAAATCTCTGGAAGAATGACAAGAGAAGTTTAGTAGCTATGTACAGTGGTTAGGAAAAACAGCTGAAGCACTTAACAAAAATAAAATAAGTTTACTGATTACCTAAAACTGAAGGACTACATAAAATTTTGCCAAGATGCTTTCAATTATTCATATATTATCCACATATGGATATTTTATATCCACAATTATCCATGTGTAGATATACTGAATAATTAATCATCTCATTCATTTATTAATTCACTCATTCAATTTACATTTACTGAGCATCTGCTCTGTGTGGTGTCATCTTAGACACTGGAAAAGCCAACACTAGTAAGATACTGTCTCCATCTTCCAAGAGTTTATAGTCTGCCTACAAGTGAGCCATGCAAATAAACAGTATAGGACCTGGGATACACGTGTTCACAGTATACAGCAGGCACCATGATAGGGTGGGGTAGATTCTTCCAAAAGTGGGTAGGGAAAGGCTTTCCCGTGGATGGAAAGTTTAGACACTCTTCAGGCAGACATGCCAGGCTGGACCTTATCTATTCAATTATGTCTGAAGAGACATCTGAGTCTGGAGATTTCAAAGATTTTAAGTTATTTTCCCGTTGGTACCAAAGGAATTAGGTCCAATTTGGGAAGGCTTTGACTTTGCATGGAGGAGTTAAGAGATTTCAGTGAAAATTGTAAAACTATGTAAAAATAATAAAGAAGTAACCAGAAGAAAAAGAAAAGACATACCAGGCTGCACCTTAGGGTATAAGGAGGGCACAGCAATAGTAATAATTAATAATAATAATAGAAAAGTGGCTCACGGATGAGCTTCTGTTGGACTTCATTGGAAATAAAAAGTAAAACTATTTGACTAAGGTATGTTATTACAAAGATTAATGTTTGGTTAACGTGAAGGATTGTTTAAAAGAACGAGATTGGAGACTGTGAGTCCCAGCTATCTGTAGGGTCTACATTTTCAAGTGACAGTGAGTACCTGAATTGAGATGGTAACCTTGGGGACAGGCTGGAGGGAATGGGTATGGAACATGTGAAGGAAATGTAATCATCAGTATTCAGTGACTTGGTGTGTGGTGAGAAACCAAGCAGAGCTGGGATACTCCCCAGGTTTCTGGTTTGTGTGGCTGTTTCTGGTTTGTATATAAAGCGTTTTCATTCAATTACATGAAGAATAGCTGAGCAACATATTATTTAAAAGCAAGGGCTAAAAGAAGAACATAATTTTGAGCATGATGGCTATTTAGGTGGCTTGGTCCAATAAAGAATTAATTAAGTTGTTTTGTAGTTCATTAGAGATTTAAAGTACAGTTTAACAGATAAAGTCATGATAATGGATAAGAGTGTTCAAGCAGAGTAGAGCAGTTTTAGAGAGAGAAAAACAAAGAGAGGGTCAAGAACAGAATCTTAAGAATAACCCATATTTGAGAGGTGGACAGAGAAAGATAAATCTCCAAAACAGAACAAGAAGAAAGATCAGAGAGATAGGTGGGAGACTAAAAAAATAAAAATGAAGAAAACCAATAAGCTGTGCTCTATGTTACCCCAGCAGGCAAACTAAGGTACTCACTTTAATCATATGAGTAATGATAACTATTTGTTAGAAACAAGAATTTTTTTCTGTAAAAAGCTACACTTGTTAATACTTATAGTAAAAATAAAATAAAACCAATGTTACTAACAGAAAGCCATTGCCATCCTTCAAGAAAAATATAGCAGTTTTTTGGCATAATTTCCCAATTTCATTGACCCTTACAAGTGGTACAAGGCTGAGCATTAACTGATATGTACAGAAAATTTTAATTTCCAAAGAGCCTGTTATTAAGCTGTTCATCAGAAATACAATACAAATGTGCAACAACTTTATTGTGAAAATTAAAAGTAATTATTACTTTATAAATAAAATGAGGGCTCAACTAAGAGAATGTCATTCCAAGGAGAGAGATGGCAGATGACCAAAGATTTTCAAAGTGAGGGTCATTGATAATTACAGAGGCAGAAATCCACTGTGTTCAAAAGAGCTTTTAATAGTACCTTGGATGCACATCTTATACTCTGGCAACTCATAAACATTATTCTTAATTCCTCAACACACCCAGAAAGGCTGATGATTGGGAGACTAATGGGATTTCGCACCTTTTTATTTCTCCTCCAATTATGGGACAAATGTCAACATAATCTCTCATATTTCCTGGGACCACAGTATGAATTTAAAGACCAAGTACATCTTCAAATGCAGAAAAAAAAACAGTGTTAGATATTGACTGCATTAATAAATATGAATTAATGTATCTAATTTACAAAGATAAATTGTATGTCTGTTAATTTCTTGTTTTTTAGAAAACCATTCAGTCCTCAACCTTTGCCTCTAAACTGCTAAGCATTTGGTTGACACCACAGATATTGAAGAAATGTTTCTGAAAGCACGATTCATGCAATACCAACATAGTACTATACCCTTTATGAGGCATCAAAATGTATCTTGCAAATGCTAAAGTTCAGTGTAAATGTAAGGTGCTACTTAAGAAGCTTCTAAGCATGCAAAGAGTCTTAAAGACCATTTTATCCACAGGTGTCATTTTAAAGATAACTCTGAAGCTAGAGAAGATTTAAGATAAGAACCCAGGCATCTTGAAGCTAGTGTATTCACAATGGAATACTTAATTTTCTTTTCCTTGTTTTACCTATCACAATAAGTTGCATTACTGCCATCCACAAGTTACTTAAATGGGAAACTGATTCATTCTTTATTCTTCTTACTCTCCAAAGTTGATCCGAAGTCTGTTCACCTGATTTTTTTTTATTTTATTGCATTTTAGGTTTTGGGGTACATGTGAAGAACATGTAAGATTGTTGCATAGGTACACAAGTGGCAGTGTGATTTGCTGCCTTCCTCCCCATCACCTACATCTGGCATCTCTCCCCTTGCTATCTCTCCCCAGCTTCCCACCCCCCACCCTCCCTCCCCTATTTCCCCCCAACAGACCCCAGTGTGTAGTGCTCCCCTCCCTGTGTCTGTGTGTTCTTATTGTTCAACACCCACCTATGAGTGAGAACATGCGGTGTTTGATCTTCTGCTCTTCTGTCAGTTTGCTGAGAATGATGGTTTCCAGGTTCATCCATGTCCCTACAAAGGACACAAACTCATCGTTTTTGATGGCTGCATAATATTCCATGGTGTATATGTGTTCACCTGATTTTTAATGCTACCACCACAATCCACCATCTCCTGGGGTGCATGGATTCAAAAAAAAGAGAGAGGGTTGACCTTCATATTTTTAATTTGTATATTTCATACTATTTCCAAATTGAATTATGTAAGCAGATATAGATTCACTATACAAAATAAAATTTTATTGTATAACCCTAAATTTGGGTCCTGTTCTGGACCACACAGCCTGCAGTGTACTATACATAATGTTTTATTACTTACATGATTATCTCATATGTAACAAAAATAAATAGAATTTTTTTTTGTCCTAAAAGCACTAATTAGTTAACCAGAGCACTTTATCTGTGCCTTTCTTAACCTCTGTGTGGTTTCATTGTGGGCAATTCAAAATCCACCAAACTAATAGAAGTATCCTAGTATTCTTTTAAAATGCAAAGGATAGTATATACTAGTATATAGTATGTATAGTATGTATCTATATATAAAGGGATAGGAGCTAATGAAAGTGATAACTCTTGAAGCAGGGACCAGCACATGTAAAAACACTGGCGCTGGAAATAGGTTGATGTGACCTAGAACTTGTTCTAGGTTTGGTGTGGCAATAACACACTCATCAAAGATGAGAACAACCAGAGTTATGATTTAAGAAGCAGTGAGGGCCAGATCATTTGATCCTTTAAAGCATTCAAAGGGAGTTTGGATTTTATATTGCTGAAAGAGGGCACTGAAGATTTTCAAGCAGGAGAGATATTTACTATATATACTATATACTAGTACACACTCTATATACTATACCATACTATGCTGTTCTTTAAGTAGGAGAGATATACACTATATATACTATATACTAGTTTATATTACATATACTATAGTATAGTATATGTACCAGTTTATACTAAATATACTATACATATGTAGTATATATATGTATATATATAGAGAGAGAGAGTATAGTACATTATGCTATGTATAGTAATAACACACTCATCAAGATGAGAACAACCAGAGTTATGATTTAAGAAGTAGGGAGGGCCAGATTATTTAGTCCTTTTAAAGCATTCAAAGGGAATTTGGATTTTATATTGCCGAAAGAGAGAACACTGAAGATTTTTAAGCAGGAAAGATATATACTATATATATATTCTATATACCAGTTTATACTGCATATACTATACTATGTAGTGTATATATAGTATATATATATCCTCCCCCCTTCCTCCCTTCCCCCACCTCCCTACATATGCAGTGTGTGTGTTTGTGTGTGTGTGTATATATATATATATATATATATATATATATATATACAGTAGACTCAGAAGAGGAACTACAGATGTGGTGGAGATAGCAAGAGAAAGCAAGAGAACTAGAATTAGAAGTGAAGCCTACGTATATGACTGAACTGCTGCAGACTCATGATAAAACTTGAATGTACACCCCTCTGCCACCTCAAATAATGTATCCATTCAAACTGCCTTGATGTCAGCAAGATTGCACAATGAGTTTTGACACGCATGTATTCCAGAGATGTATAGAAATTCTAGTTACTTACAATTTCTTGGGAAGAAGCCTCGTACCAGATGTGGCTTTAGATAATAGGGAAGTTTAATTGCTTCTGAATTCCTTTGATAAGGGGCTTTGCCTACAGGTGGTCTGCTTGATGGACATCAGATGATCTTTGCTTTTCTCAAGTTTATCACTACTGATGGAGCCAAGTATGCTTTGTCATATTTACTCTTGCTAAAATAGAAAATATTAATCAATATAAATAATAATAACACTCACAAAATGTCTAAGACGAAGAATATTTTTGCTGTATCCACTTTAAAATTTGAAAGATAAAAAGAGAGTCATATTATGACACCTCTTTATATCCACATTAGATGGTGTTCAATGTCATTATATTGCCCATGTCAGAAAAAATTGTACTAATTAAACATATTTGAATTAATGTTCACCAAAATATTTTCCTTAGCTTTATCCAAATGTTGGTGATCAAATTAATTTTTTGTGATAATCTTTTAGAAAAAATTAACGATAAAAATACTGAAAGTAAAAAGGTATTTAAGTCAACCTGAAAGCATTGTAATTAGTAAATATAATGTTCTATTTCACAAGGAAGACCAGTTTGTGCTGGGTTGGTGAAGAGGGCTCCAAGAGTGCTTTGCAAGATCGGTATTAAATATGAAGTCTAGTGGGTAGAACAGTTAAAGTTGTCTTGAAATAAGGAATAAGAATTTTAAGAGTCGGAGCTGCTAGGGGTAGTACTTGAATGAAGTAGATAGAGTATGTGCTTTGGAGAATAATGACGTAAGTAGAGTAAGCCTCTATTGGTCACATAGATCATGTTAAAAGAGAAATAACTCCAATTATACTCGTCTTGGATATATCTTTTACTGCTCTCCAGGATAGGTTAAATATCTTACTGTTATTTTGAAGTGCTGCCTCTACCATAGTTTAAGAACTAAACCTCTATTGAGATCTAGATTAAGAAAAGACACTCAGAGGATAAGAACGGGTAGGATTTTACGATCTTCAAACATTGCCATTTAGTGCAACAAAAAAAGGATAGAGAAAGAAAAAGTCTGCCCATTTTATCTGTAGGCACTAACCCACAACGAGGAAATAAGTGTGTGGCTAAGAAATTTAGAGATGCCACTTTAAAATGGAATACTATAGACCTATACATACAAACTGAAGACATAAATCTTTTAGAAAAGTTTGGTGAATGTCTTTATAATCCTGGATAGGCACAAATTCATAGAGAAGACACAAAAAGCCCTAGATATAAAATTTTTAAGTTTGATAAATGTAGGAGCTCTTAACATTAATCACTGTGCACATCAAAGTCACTGTTAAGAAAGAAGATATGCAAACTATAAACCAAGTGATCCTATAGAAACTACATGTACCCAGAAATGGAACTGTTGATACAGTACATAGAAAGAACTCCTTTACATCAACAATCAAAATATAAACAACCAAATTTTATAAAATTATCAAAACATATAAACAGATACTCTTACAGAAAATACAAGTGGCTGGTAAACATACAAAATGCTGCT